CCTTGTGGACCAGTCTCCTTCCTTCAGGCGTGACAGCGACTTCTTGGTTTCCTGAACCATCCTTTCAGCTTGGCCGTTGGAAGCTGGATGATACGATGAAACAAACGAAAGTCGAATATCGTTGCTGTCTGCGAACTCTCGAAACTCTGCCGAAGTGAAGGCAGCTCCGTTGACAGAAACCAGCGCATCCGGCACTCCATGTGTCGCAAACAGTTCTCTTAAACTTCGAATGACTTTCGCCGCTAAAGTCGTTCTCCCTAAACGTACTTCGACCCATTTTGAGTGTGAGTCAATGACGATAAAAAATATCTTGCCTTCAAAAGGGCCGGCAAAATTCATGTGTAGTCTGGACCATGGTTCACCGTCCACTCCAATGGATGGATTGGAGCTTGGACCGGTGCATTTCGCGTCTCCTGACAAGTCGTACAGCATCGAACACATTCTTCGATCTGTTGGTCTAGTCCAGGGGTGGCCAGGCTGACCCGGCATAAGAGCCGCAAACAAAACCACGAAACTTCCAAGAGCCGCAAGGGGAAGTGGGTTGGGGGGGGGGGGGGGGGGGTATTTTTGTCCATCTAGCAATAAACGAAACTTTAACTACTTTCACTCTATCCAAGTCAAAAGCAGACTATACGTAAGGTAGCAGCAGCACAAGACTACTAAACCGCAACCTGTTTTCCGATTTAAAACGCAGTCCATTTCTCTTTTTGGGGAAGTGCTCGTGTAGCCGAGGTGAGTTGGGGGCGGGGGGGGGGGGGGGGGGGGGGGGTGTAGGGAAGGGATCCGCGAGCCGCACTTTAACACGCGAATAGCCGCATGCGGCTCCCGAGCCACAGCTTGGCCACCCTTGGTCTAGTCCTTGCTACCATACGCAGCTTCTAGCTAAGCCTTTCATGCCCACAACACCGGGATGCGAGGCATGCAGAATGTTCAGAACATTCTTTTGAAGTTTTTTTGCATCATTGAAGGCCTTTGCTTCTTTGGATGACCAACTCCATTTTACTCTGTCCCTTAGAAGTCGGTGGAGAAACTCCAACACGTCTGAAGCTCCACGCAGGAAGCGATTATAAAAGTTCAAGAGCCCTAAGAAGGCTTGAAGTTTCTTCTTGTTTTTAGGCGCAGGTGTATCATGGATTGCTCTCACCTTGTCCTGTGTTGGGTGTACCACGTTTTGGTCTATCTTGTAACTCAGGAACGTCACTTCTTTCACTCTAAAAGCGCACTTCTTTTGGTTCCAAGTGTAGTCCGTCCTTTTCGATTCTTTGTAGAACTGCACGGACTCGAAGGTAATGTTCTCTTGAGTCGGATTCACCGATTAGGATATCGTCAAGGAACACTTTAACTCCCGGTAATCCGGCTTGCAAGTGCTCCATGCGACGTTGAAAAATAGCTACAGTAGTAGCGACACCAAATTGTAACCTTGTTACCATAAAAAGTCCTTTGTGAGCACTCAGTGTAAGTAGGTTGGACGTGTGTTCATCAACAGAAAGCTGCTGACAGGCTTGCTCCAGGTCCAACTTTGAAAACCACCGGCAACATGCCAGTTTACCTAACAGCTGTTCTGCTGTTGGCAGTGGATAATCTTCCCACTCCAATACTGGATTAATGGTGCATTTATAATCACCACATAGTCGTACCTTGCCGCTTGGCTTCACCACAGGTACGACTGGCGTAGCCCATTCAGAGTTCCTCACTGGAACCAGAATTCCTTGTTGTACTAGGTGTGTGATGGCGTCTTCCACTTTTGGTTGAAGTGCCAAGGGAACAGCTCGAGGCTTGTGGTACTCTGGTTTGGAGTCTGGCTTGAGCTGGATGTGAACTTCGGGTACTTTGCTTTCGTCAAGTCCTGACTCGAAGACGTTGGGAAATTCCTTCTCTAGTCCATGCATCCGGGGCAGAGACTCGGATAGTTGATGAATTCCTTGAATCTTGATTCCCAGTGCTCGAAACCAGTTCCTTCCCAGCAGGCTTTCGCCGCTTCCTTTCACTACCAGCAGTGGTAGCGTGTGATCCTTTCCTTTGAATTTCACAGGAACATTAACACTTTCGAGAACCGTCAGTTTTCGTTGAAAATATGTCCTGAGAGTGATTTCTGTTGTCATCAGTTTCTTCTTTGTTAGTCCAAGGCGACGCATTGTCCTCAGATCGATGACAGCACAAGCTGCTCCGGAAACTACTTCCATGCAGATGGGCATTCCATTTACTTGAAATTCGACTATCTCTGCCGGCTTAAGGAAGTTTAGACGATACTTCACCTTGGAAGTTCTGTCTAACTCCAGCTTATAGCTTGATCCCGCTTTCGAAGCGCTGTTTTTGGACTTGGCCATCTTCTGGCGGCAGGCACATGCAATGTGCCCTTTCTTGCCACAGAAATGGCAAACAGCGTAAGCGAAATTGCAGTTACTCACGTCGTGTGTACCACCGCAGCGCCAACATTTGCCAACTAAGCTTGGAGAAGTCTTAACCTTGCCAGGGTAGTTGCCTTGCGTCGATGAGCTGTTCGACGCTTTATGCAAGATGTTTCTGTCGATGTAGCAAACTTCAGCCGCCTCCGAGCTATGAAGGTCACGCATTTCTTGCGTACGTTTTTTGGCATACTCTGCCGCGATCGCAAGGTCCTGAGCCTTTGCGAAGGTGAGGTCTGGTTCGGCGAGAAGACGGCGCATTACAGCTTCTTCGCCGACCCTGCATACCAAACGATCTCGAAGCATCTCATCCAAATATGATGAATAATCGCAGTGTTCAGCGAGGCGACGCAACTCTGCGATGTAGTTCGCCACGGACTCGCCTTGACGTTGGCAACGCTTGTTGAACATAAACGTAAATCGGTGAGCAATTACCGATGTTTTCGGTGCGAAGTGCTTCGTTAGAATGGCTAACAGCTCTTCGAAAGGTACGTCAATTGGTATCTTCGGAGAGCAGAGTGATCGAAGCAAGGCGTATGTGGAAGGTCCACACTCGCTGCAGACGACGGCCCGCTTCACTGCGTTGTCCACGATCCCGTTCCCCAAAAGGAAGAACCCGAGTCGCTCAACGTACTGCGGCCAAGACTCCGGTTTTGATTTGTCGAACTCCTCCAGACGTCCAAGTGCCTGTCCTGGTCCGTTCTCTTTCGTTGCCATGCTCCTTGCCGTTGCTTAGACTCGTCGCCAAATGTTATGTATAGAGGCGAACGCTACATCACAACAAACTCACGTACTTAATAAGGCAAAAAAGATAGGATAGACTCGAACCGCAGCATGCTCCATAGTCCCTGCTCGTACTGCTCTCTGGTCTGCGTGGCGGGCTCGCGTATTGTCTTGCTGCTCACGCGGTAATATCGCTACTGCTCACGCGGTAATACCCACGATACTACACACGCATTAACTTCAAAATCGCCAATGTGCTGGATTTTGGTGTTGCGGAGGAACTGTGACGTTGGCGTGAAATTCGTGAGCGTGCCGAAGAGCACCGGCAACGACAACGACACCTGCAAAAATAAATATCTTTAATGGAAGGTGGCGATTAGCAGAAATGAATCACCCTAAAAAGAAACATAAAAAAGTTAGAGAGAAAATAGTGTAGCGGTGCTCCTGTGGCGCGTGCCAGAACCCGCTTATGACGACGAGGATGCGCGCGCAGACGGCACGGGGCCGACACACAATCTGCTCTAATCTGGCCATGAACTTTATGTAAAACGTCAATGTAAAAGCTCTGACATTTTTTTTTTCTTTCTGCTTTGTTCCAAAATCGTCACTCACGACACGTTTCATACAAAATGAACACCAGGGCCGGCTTGCTCGAAGCAGAGTCTCAGTTGAGACTGCTCAAAGAAAGCGCTGTTAAGGCGAGCGCTCGAGCTTAAGCCGAGTCTCAGACGCTCGCGCGCCCGAGCCTTGGCAGCGCTTTGTTTGAGCAGTCTCAACGGAGACACTACTTCTAGCAACCGGCCCAGGTTTTGGTTGCCGCCAGCTCTGCATGCTGGTCAATTTTCCTCGTTTCTACATAGCTACAGTAGGTCAGGAACATCGGTAGTTCTGATAGAAACGAGTTGGGTGGATATCTCAGAATTCTAACTTATTAGTTAATACCCTGAAGGCGACACATACTGAATGTAGGTAGCGGTTGTATGAGTGTAAGAGATTTAAAATATACTTTGTATTATAAGCTGGACCAGTGATTCCAACGAAGTATTCTTAATCCGAAAGTTAGATTGAATGGAAATGTATTACCCGGTGCACCACTCGCTGACGGTAACTCTGTCCAATGGCCACATTTCAAGCTCCATCTTCGAGGCCATTCTTGAGAAAACTAATATTTTGATTTTTCGGTTAATATCAGTTAATAACGGTTGCCGGTAAATAATTTACGGTTACGGTTACTGTTTTTATACATTTCAAATAACGGTTTCGTTCCGGTCACGGTTATTGAAAGAATTTCGTCCCTAAACGGTTTTCGGTTTCGGTTACAATTACGGTTTGAGTCCCCTGCTCTATATAGCGGTCTAGCAGTCAACACCATTAAATTACTAGTATGACGAGTTCTCACTGGTGTCTGTATTTCTCATGTGTATGTACACGCGGCAAGTGGCAAGTGAAGTGTCCGTGGACCTATTGTGACAATATATAAAATTATTGTTGGGTATATAAGTTTTGTTTTTTTGTTTTTCACCAAACACTTACCTATTTTTGTTATATAGGGGAGAAATAATCTCAAAACCTGTTTTCTATGCTATTAATGTCTAATTTAGTACGCTAAGTAGTGTTGAAAGTGTATAAAACTCTGTCAAGAAGCTATAAACAGTGGATAAAAAGTGGATACATTTTCTGTTGTATATATACAGTCTCTATACACTATAATGTATAAATATTTTTGGGAAAGTCAATAAATATTTTTCTAAGAGTGACCCCTTGGACAAACCTTTGCTGAACAAGCAACAAAAACGACCGCGAAAATATGTTTTATATTTCGTTTTAACCGCCGCGCATTTGTTCTAAAAATCGGTAAAAGATGATACGTACATATCACTTGCAGGGATATCATTATAATAGAAATTGTACCAGAGGACCAGACTGCCGTCCCAACACATTTTCAATGACATATTAACACAGGGTTTAAATCCTCCATATGCAGTATCGTTTTCTATTGAACGATACAGAAGGTAATGTGCATGTTTATCAGTAAACAGCTGAAATGAAATAACAACACAATGTAATGAAACTTCTCGCATAATTGCACTCGAGCGCCGATATTCAAACGCTCCATCAGCATCAACACTAACCACAAGAAGGAATTAAGCGTATAAATGACGAGATTCATCCTTTATTTACTCCACGCACACCAACCCTTCTCTGGCGTTAGACTCGACTCTAAGGATGACCAGTGGCGTACTTCAAGCATCTCAGCTTGAGAAGGTCCTTCTAAGGATCGAATTGTGCCATGAGAGAGATTGGCAAACATCAAGTGTTTTCCGAAAGTGTAAGACGCGTCTATTTAAACAATGCAATTTTAATTTAGGTGGATACTGTGAGTCCATCGGTCATCCTCGGAAATATTACGCGTCTTCATGATAGTGACCAGAAACTAAATATGTTGCAGAAGTGCTCCCTAAGAAAAAATTGCACAAATATAACGGTTCTAGGAACACACATGCGTACCTTGATGTTTTTGATGTCTCTAATTAATAATGTACTATTATCGTGTACAGGTCTTGCCGAGAACGTAACAGTGCAGTTGTAAGACTACCATGGCATTGACAATACCGAGCATGCTGTAATGCTTTACAGGAACTGAGCTACGACTTGAAATATCACATATACAAAATTTACCGTATAGCTTCTTTGATAAACATTAGAGTCTGTTACGTACACGCGCAAACGTTTCTCGCTCATTGCTTTGCAAGTTACTTGATTCATAATTTCGCATGTAAGATAGAGATACTGACATGTCTCTATCTTAAAAACAACTCAATGTTTAAATGACAAAGTTCGCCTCTAAAGACTTGTGCTTTGCAGCGCGTCTCGCACCGGTGTGGATAGTTTTTTTATACCACCCAACCCTCGAAGTGACCGATGCATGGCTAGTTTAAGTGGACGCGGACGTGACTGACGTTTCGGCTTTCCAAACTTTGATTGGTGTTGTCTGCGACTACATGCCGACTGCAGAGCGGAGAGGTACAGTCGGGCAGGCGCACGGTGTCTATCAGCCTCCACTGCTGTTATACCGCCAGGATTACGGTGAAGCGCAGAATTACGAAGCTATGACATTACTTGGCGCGCTCTATGGGACAAGATAAATACAGAAGACCAGAAAAGAACACGTTCCAGTTGAGAGCCAAAGATCAATGGGCTGTACAACACTAGAGCGCACGACACAAGAGCGTCGAACTTAGAGCGCCGACAGTAGAGCGCCACGACGTTAGAGCGCGCGACTCGAGAGCGCTGCGACGTTAGTGTGCACGACTCGAGAGCGCAGCGACATTAGCTCGCGTGTCATTAGAGCGCACGCCACGAGAGCGCACAACCAGTCCAGCGCCAGTAGCCCGACCCGACCAACGATGCAGTTGTTCGCAAAAAGCTAATTGTTAGGTGTATGTTTACACAGCCGGAAGTTAGTCTGCCTCAGTGGGCGTCTGGTGTCTCAGCTGTAGATGAGCAATGTAGCCAGTGCAGTACGACCGCTAGCCTGGGGTCTTTAACGTGCACCGCGCAGTAGTGATACACGACCGCACGCCGATACGATGCTCATCCAGATCGAAACGGGCAGGGGCGGGGATTGAACCCAGGATGCCTGGGTTCTGCAGCACTTGTTCGGACATCGCGCGTTTTATGTGAAATTGGCGGGGATTAACGTCACGGCATTCAGCAAGGACATTGCGAAATGAGTCGACGAAATTTTGGCATATGACAAACCAAAATGTGTTACAAAAAGCTGACAGCAGAAAAAAAAAAGAATATCTGTAGCGTCCATTTCAACATTAAAAAAAAACATTGCAGCTTATCTAGCTTTCTTAGGTCTTTGATCTTAAGTAATGAAGTTCACCACCCACCTCACTCATATTTATTTTAAATTATTTTAAAATGTTTAGAAAAGAAAGAAGCAACATGTAACATGCTTCCCCGTATTCTGGAGTTTTCAAGATTCATTTAGGGAAAGGCGCTGTCATGCCAAGTGTCATACGCCAACCATTCATACTGTCACACATGACAATTGTACAATACAAATGAGTGTGCACATATTTGCGTCGTGCAAAAACGCGGCCTGCTAATGCGGTCAATGTCACCGTCTCTTATGCGCTCCTCGGAATCTGGCCTCGAGAGATATTGACGCATGGCGGTATTTCTCTGGGGACGTTTTTGTCCGAAAAAAGCTGACCTACGAATCCTACTATCAATCCTTTAAGTTTACCACCCGCGGCACTAATCGTTGTGTTGAAGTTGGGTGTCTATTCACATCTAAAAGTTTTATTTCTGTCTGTGCTGCGGTTTTTTCTTCGATATTCATAGATTTCTGTAATCTTTAGTATTCGTATATTCCTGAATGAAAGCACTCTCGTCCGGTCCTAGAAGATTAAACTACTTTCTAGAAACAAAGGGGGAAAAGCTATGTTTCTATAGAATGTAAAGAATGGACAAAGCGATAGACAAATTTTTTTTCTTTGTAGACTCTTTTCTGAGACATACAGAACGGGCATTGCCTTGACGTTGTGTTACCTTAACGACGCGTCAACGAATTAAGATTTTGGAACATAATTTTTTAATATATTTTACAGATTTGCAGGGGAGGTTTTCCTGTATACGTCAAAGAGCTGGAAAGCTCTGCATTCGATAAAATTGCTTTCCTTCCATGAGCTTTTTCCTGATATTTGTTTAGCAGTGAGCTGTCTTTATGTCTTTATTACGGTCATGGACGTCACAATACTATTTCATATTATGTGAGGGACGTCCAAATAGCCACCAAATAGATCGGTGCCAAAATGTCAATCAAAAATAGACAAAATATAGCAAAAAGTAAACTTTTCCGAGATGCGCACCATAGCACCGTGAAGAAATCTCCAACTGCAAACATTCCCGGTACTTATATACTCCACTCCCCTTTCCCCTATTTGCTTCCATGTCACTAAACAATTCGTAAAAAGGAGTCGTACCCGTTTAATTTTTTTATTTTATTAGAGGCATATTTAATCATTCAAAAATTACCAATGCTCCGATCCGATAAGCCTCAGAATTTTGTTCTGTCTGTGGAGCAGCGGGTACATCACACATTTTGCGGTGTTCGCTCAACTGTGCGCTCTCGTGTCGCGCGCTCAACTGGTCGTGCGCCCTCGTGTCGCGCGCTCAATTGGTCGTGCGCTCTCATGTCACGCGCTCAACTGGCCATGCGCTCTAGTGACATGCGCTCTAGTGTCAAGCGCGCTACTGTCGCAGCGCCCTTGTGTCGCGCGCTTTAACGTCAGCCCTTTAGTGTCGCGCGCTCTAAAGGCGGTCTCCCAGATCATTGTAGGGTGTTTATCAAATAAAAAAAAAATACATGGCGAGGTTTGGTTTCATATGCCATTTCACCCTATAACCTAGCGGACTTCAACAAAACAAGGTACGTACCAACCAAGCATTCACGGAACTCTTCGCTTGCAGTTCTTCCCTCTTCTCTTTTGATAATTTGGCATCGGAAAATGCTAGCAAAGCAGAAACTAGACAAAGAAATGGAAGCATCGCTTCTGTAAAGTCCTTTCCTCAAAGATGCATCCAAGGAACGGAGAGGCTTATATCAGCCCTGGGTATGCTGACATTTAGAAAAGGTCATTTGATAATTTTTGATCCATGAACAAGGACCTAACAGTTAGGCGGCATGAAGGGGTAATGCGTAGTAGCAAAAAAAAAAAAATAAGAACTGTATGTTGTAATTTTTTTAAAGAGTTATACTAAAAACATTTTTCCACAAAACGAAGTGGTCACTTTCGAGCCTGCTCGTTTGTTCCCTCATCAAACCTAGAAAAGAATTGAGCGAAACGCGCGGTTTTCTACAATGAACAATTCTTATTTTCCAACTTCGTAGCCACGTGCGTGACCCTCCATTACAGGTCATTTGCAGAACATTTTATGTGCGATGACTTAGAAAGAAGCATCATCAAAACGTTAGTATTAGGTTTCTTTTTTAGCGAAACTTCGGCTGCTATTTTAACATTTCCGGCAAAGTAACTTTCAAGTTCAGATTTTGTATGATACCCAATAAACTTACAAGGGTCGTCAACCGCTTACGCCTGATTTGTATGGTGCGAGTTTGCTTTCAGTTTCGCGGTTCCGTCCCAACTGGGGATCCCAAGCAAAATCTCATCAGATGATTCGAGATTTTTATTGACAGCTTTTTTGCATTTTTTAACTCTTCAAAACAATAAAGTAAATCAGGTCTATGGTGGTTATAGCTAGCTAATATACTTTCGTTTTTGTTCGCCTGATTATTAATTTTTACAATGCGACGCTACTACACGCGCCGTACGACAACCGACACATGTAGCTCTAATTTTTGGGCCAACATATTGTTTTAATCCGAAAGCATTAACTGTCCCATGGAGCGGAACCGGCGGCGTCTGTAACCATGCAAAACATGGGCGCAAAACGTGAAAGAAATTCCCAGTGAAACATCTCCTAGATAGCTATTGGCTTGGACGCGTCATAGTTCTAAGGAACGCCACCCCTCAGAGAAGCCCTCTTCCTGGCGCTATTTGACGCTGCTCTTGGCGCTGTTTGCTCGTTCGTTGCGAACGCTTGCACCATCTCTTGTCGCCCGTGCCAAACGGCGCCCGATCGTTTGAAGACGGGCGGCTTCGCTGCGTTTCCATAGGAGCTAAGCCTTTATCTTTTTTTTTTACTTTTTTCTCAGGTAAGTTCGCTCTTTGCAAATTTTATAGAAAAAGTGCACCATCTGTGGGCAGCGCTGCCCAAAATCGTAGCGTAATAGGTTAAGAAACCGATTTTTGCGGTCGATTTAATGAGCCTGGCCGCTATTTAAGACACCCTGTATATCGTCGGCGGCCGCAACCTCGGCGGTAGCGAAACGTGGCCGTCCACGCCAGTACACCGCAGATGAGGAAAAACGATATTCATGCTTTCGCATTCACAACTGATAAGTGCTTAGGTGTTCTCGATTTTTATTTTCTGACAATGTAGGGACCATAAATTCTATGAAAGCCAAGGTATAACCAAAATTAAAGGAATACTGAATCGAAACTTAAGATAAAACTCTCACGTTCGTATGATCAACTCTATCTGCTAATGACAATCACATGCTCTTATTTCAAACGGATGGATGTACTTTTCGTTCTATATGTTCGATTCTGGTGACCGCTTCAATATCAGCCATCGAAGAGCGCGGTGCATCTGGGTGTATCCATCGTGCCCGCTACTTGCCCATGACGTCATCCGCCTTCCTAGGGCCAAGCGTACCGTAGTGATGAACGTTTGGCGCTTGGCGTCAACGCGTTACTACCTCGCTTAGGTAGAGTGCCCTTGGACTGTAACATATCACTAGGAGTTAGCGGAGCCGGCAGCGCTATGACAACACGTAGTCCGTTGACTGCACAGCGACTTGGCCGATATGCCGACATCGACACCGTCGGTTTCGGGCGCGAGCTGGTTGCTCCTTGAACGTGATGACATCGTCCCGAGGCGGCTAAGGTACCTTTGTTATCTCGCACGAGGTGAGATGTTGGTAGGTTTCTTACTTTATGTTTAAGGTGATGGCAGAAGAATGTGTAACATTGGTATGAGAGGGCCATTGCTGCTTTCCTGATTTTCCCCCGACTGATCATAACGACCAGACTCGGCGAGGGAACAGCTTCGCAGATAAATGAATATCCATTTGAAGGCGCCATACAAGTTGGAATCCTTCATTTATTAAAGAGACCAGGGAAGCAGGCCGAGTCCGGTAAGGCAGCACTCCAGCATTTCACGCAGCGTATCGCATCGATGGTGGTGTGATTGCTGTACTGTCACGCCACCGCGAAGAAAAGCATACACCCCGACGAGTTTGCGACATTCCTTGTCACAAGGGCGAACACTAAACGAACGAAGGGAAGACATCGGCGCAAAGGAAGCTTGCGCTGGTCTCGACGGGATGTGATTTTACAGCGGAGCTGTTAAGGACTAGATTCCCCATGATCGGGCCGGTATGTCGACAAAAACCTACCTGGACAGCTACCGCCATCTATAAGCGACAGCGGCAAGCACACAACCAGTATGTTTTCCGCCGTCGCTCATAGATGGCGGAAACCTTTCCAACTATCATAGGAGAATAGATAGTTGGGTACGTTGGTGGGAAATCATCGTAGGACGGCCACCCGTCCCGCGGCTCGCGGGACTGTCCCGTATTCAGGGCTCGTGTCCCGCGTCCCGCAAGAAATTCTCAAATCTTCAAAATGTCCTGCATTTTATACTGTCGTATAATTCACTCTGCAACTCAAGGTGCCGCCGAACAATGGGGCACGGGGACGCGCGGAGGTCGCTGGTAATCGTGGATTCGTAGTGGTACGGCATTTTCTATCCAATTACTGCGGGAAGCGACAGTCGTTCTTGCAGGAGAAGCGACGCGTATGCTCCGTTGTGCCTCCCCCCTTGGTGGCAAAATATTGTAAGAAAAAATGCTCGCCAAAAGTTTAAATATAAAATATTGTAATGATTTTCCCATCGTTGTGTGAATGCGAAAGTGTAGCTGTGGATTTTGTTTATATTTTTTTAAGGCAGACAGACACTCAAGGCAGAAACCTGCAACTTACAGCGGTCGAAAAAGAACATAGTGTTAAAAAATTTGTGTGGGACCATGTTGATAAAAGTAAGCGTTGACAGGAAACAATAATCCGAAAAAAGATTTACTGTTTTTTAATTTCATTTGATGAATTGAATTCTGCTGCAGTTGATTCCTAAGCTTTCAACTTCGACACATTTAATGACATATTTGGCGTAAAAAATATAACACTGGAAGTGAAAATTATTTTAGCCTAATAGCTGCTATACAATTTGCAGGTGCATAAACAGCACAGGATATTAAATGTGTTAACAGAGCCTCGGTTTGTGGTGTGCGTCCTCCTAAATTTCCTAACTATACTCCGCGACAACTTTTCTTGGCAATGCAGTGGAAGGTACGTCCCGCGTCCCCTCTCCCATTCTGACTGTACGCAGGCTCTCCTCCTCTCCCATTTCCGGGGAGAGGAGGAGAGCCGCTGCCGAATTTGGGCCAAGAGAGTCGACTCTCTTTGCCGTGTTGCCTGAGGACGATCACGTAAAGCCTTACAGTGGAACTTGCAGGTGGCGTGGTTTTGAATGGATTAAAAAGAAAATGAAAGACGTTTACAATTCTTTGTAACGCCGAATTAGAGCGCAGCTCTTGAAGAGGAGGAGAGGAGGGTACGGGGGGAGGGTATGCCCCTCCTCCTCCTCTGTACCTTCCCCTCCTCCTCTTCTCCTCCGGGACATTTTCGCTAAACGTCCCGCTAAATTTAGCTAAAATTTCCCTACTAAATTTAACGGGAAAATTGCATTATTCCCATAACGCAACGCGCGCAATTACGCCGACGCCGACGGCGACGCCGCGAAATTCGGAAATGGGTGCCTAAGAGCTGCGCTCTAAAACGTATGTTAGGTTTACGTGCCCAGGATCCCAAAGTAAACGCGCGTACTCGAGTTTAGGCCTACTTAGAGCTTTATATAATATGTATATTACCAGGTACAGTCGTACAAATAAAATGACCGCGTAGATGTCCCAACACGCGGGATAAAACGTTTCCTTTGATTGTGTGACCGCCTGTTTGTACTCACTATCAGCAGTTTCATTAGTGTACCTACGCTAAGCACTTTTCAATATCTTCAAGCGTGCCGAGGTAACCTTTTCCTTTAAATGCGACAGCATTTGAAGGAAAAGGAGAGGATGGGAAAAGGCTAAAGGGCCGAGATGAGCGGCCTTCGATGCCGAAACTGCGAGTCGCATCCCAGCGGCAAACGTGACCGCGGTAGAGATGCCCTCGTCGCGACAGCAATTTTCAATACAGATATGCGCTTTCCTCACACCTGCAGAAAATGCATTAAAAAAAGTTTTGAAGATTTAGCATGGAGGGCGACGATACCCAAAAACATACTGGTTGCAACAGGCAAACGCTTGTCGGTAAGGTGAATACGAGACTGCTCTTGCCGAGGCGACGCGTGGTAGTGTAGACGTGAGTCAAGGAAGTTGACGTGAGCGGACTCGGCCGAATGACTGCTAGCGTCGTATCCTTATATTTAAGCAAATATAAAGTGTTATTGGAGGCAAAAGCTTGGTTTCATAATTTAGTCATAGCATTTCGCATGCACAATAAAAGCTGTGACTACTGTCTGGTGTCTTGATGCCGTTAAAATGCTCAAGCTTTTTTTCTTTTTTTAAAGGGCGGTGTTTAGATAACTATTTGAAAGCTCTAGTCTGCGCCGATGTTAGCGTAGAAGTTTTTTTTGTTTTTTTGCACGCGTTATTAAACGTGTGCTGAAATTTAGTGCGTTATTCTAGAACTTCCTATGTGTGTACATTGACGCCAAAACACTTGTTTCAGCTTTGCAGGTGTGGATGATTGGATCGACGGATGAAACAAATATAAACGAAACTTGCCATTCTACTTACAACGAAAACGTGAATACGGCTGATGACTCTACGGAGACGCCGAAATATTATATCTACAATCAAACAATAT